TTTTTTTTTTTAACGACAACGTTCCACTTGAGTAGTTAATACATGTTTTTTTTTGTTTTTTTTTTTTTCAAATAAATTAATAATTTATCTTAGAGAGTTGCTGTATTATAAATAAATTTTTAATTCATTTCAAGTAAACGAAGTGAAACTTCTAAATCGCTCTGAAGGAGAAGTATGCGCATTAAATACGAAAAATGGCAACGAAATGCTGCCATGATGATGGTAATAGTGCAGTGAATATAGTAGAGATGCAGTCAAATAAACTAATAATAAGCACTAAAAAAATGAAAAAAAAATGTATTATTTTTAATGTATATTCAAAATTTAATCAAAGCCTACAAGAATTTTCTTTTTTTTATCGATAAATTAATTTGAAATTTTTTTAATGAATATATTTAAAATTTGCCAAATAGATGTAACGCAATCGAAATACAAGACAATAGAAATTGCATAGGCAATGCAATGCATTTCAACTACGTCTGCCCGTCTGTTACCATATTGGGAGTGACAATTCAAACTCCAAGAAGTCTTTGAAGTCTACATTCTTCTAATCATTCCGTTTATGATAAGAAAGTTTAAAAGTTAAAGTCCACTAATTGTCTACATATTTTTTTGTATAGGCCTAAAACTTAAGCATTTCCAACTTGCAGTTTTCCTTATTCAAATCTCCATTTTTAATTTTGAAAATAAAATGGCGTATGCAAGCATTGGCTTTTAATTACCTACGAAAATGTTTTCATATGACATAGAAATATAATTTCAATTATATCTACGATATACGGTTATTACGTGATTATGTACTATATATAATACGATATGAAATGTAGGTTAAACAAATGTTTTCATTTTACGTTCATAGCCTGATTAAGTTTAATTCAAGCCGATTATATTCTTGTTTACATGACTATGAACACTTGATCGATAGGGAATAAATTAAATGAATGGAAGAAATGAGTTTGCGTGGGTTGTTATTACGACTCTTTAGGATGACAAATGACTAAAGCCTACCTACACGAAATCTTATGATGTTTTCTGGGATCTTTTGTGGATATAAATCTGTTTTGTTGCAAGGGTGGCTGGAGAGAATAGACACAAAAAGAGATATAACAAACTAAATGAGAGAAATGCTGGTAAGTAATGTGGAAAACAACAACTGCAAAGGCTGCAGAATGGTGCAAATATTTTTCTCGACTTGTTAGGTTGTTAGGTTGTTCGAAAATGCATTCCGTTTTCCATCCCAAACAATCGATTTAATTGCATTTTTGGAGAAACAAATCCGCAAATCACCGAATGACAAACCCGTGGGATCACTAAAAATTAAAATTCATTGAATTCCATTGTTCTTGGTGAAATATTTATACACCATAAAGACGAATGTTCGACTGTTGTTTTTGGCCAAAAATCCAATTAGGTTCTGTATGCATGAATGCAATAGTTCTGCATTCATTTGAATGCAACGGTTCTTTTAAATGATTTCAATGGCAAATTTAGTGCTGTTGTTCTTCCTTTACACATTCTTCTACACATATTCATTCTACTCATTTCTACTTTAATACGAATTATTTTTCTTATTTTGCGAATTTAAAATATGACGCAACAAGAAATTCCAATCCACTTGCACGATTTTACTATGGCCTTGCATTATGTGTCTTTCTTTGAATGGAATTTTTTAAAATGATTATTCGACTTCTATAACGTCATATCCGCCATATAAAATTCAGAACTATTTGAATTTTTAACACGCAATTACATATACCTGATATGCTTCATATTTTCCTTTAATTGAACTTTTGAAGTTTCACTTCTAGCGCGCGTGGTGACCAAGCAAATTCATTCTATTTGTTTCTTTTCTATTTTAATTTACTTATAGTAGTTTATATAATTAGTCTAAATTTAAACTCTAACTTCGTATATATGTAAACGTAGTTTATTGCAACTTTTCTCTTAAGATTATTTCTTATGTCATCATAATCGTGAAAGGGAGTCATTTAGGAAGTCATTCAGGAATTCTCTTGAGCGGGACCTTTAAGTGCACTAGAAAAGTCACAAAAGTCCCCTCCCTATCCAATAAATGACTGCTGATTCTAAGTAAAACAATAAAGTTGCTGCCAATCGTATCTTTTAAATAAAAGATAACTTCAATAACATTCAATAACATATGCATACATATTGACTATGAGAGGAAAGGAAGGCTTATCCGCACTTCAGAGAAAAGTTGTAAATTATTATTACGTTGCTAAAAATTTGCAATTTTATTATGCGATATATTTTGTATCGCGATCTGTATTGCATGCAATATTTATTTATTATATAATATATCCGTAGAATCGTTTAGGATAATTTGTGATTGTTTACGTTTATTTTTCTTTCTTTTTACTTTTTTTTTTTTTTTTTATTCATATATAATTTTTATTTTATATACGTAAATTTAGTTTATTTATTTTGATTTAAAAACCTGACTGATTTTTGCGGGAGAAGTAGTAGCAGTTTTCAAATATTTTAAAACTAAACATTGACCTAAAAAGAATTTTCTTCACTTAAGCCACAAGTTCACCGGAACTTTGGTAATCTATTCCTAGATTGCAATTCAGATTGTTTCGTTCTCAAAATGGATCATCATGCTCTATATAATTGTAGATTTTTTTTTTTGTTTTTTTGTTTGTTTTTTTTTTTTTTTTTTGTATAGCGGCCGGTAAACTTATAATAGCAAAAAAAAGGCTCCTTTTATAGGGGAGCTTAAAAAACAATTTTGCATGTTAGTCATTCGATATAACGGGATGCCGATGAAATGAACTTTGCGAACATAAAATAGCTTAATACTCAGCAGAGAAGAAAAGTTTCTTGTGCCGTCTGAAAGATATCTATCAGTTTCGCCTTCTAAAGCCCGTTCGTCCTCTATTAATACGAATTTTTACATCATCGCGCTTTCATGTAACATAGAACAGCCAACGAATAGCTGCTCAAATATAAAGAAAATAAATTCAATTATAACAACCGCCGTGTGTGTTGAAGTTGATTTGATTGCGCTCGTAGCAATCGTGCCAGTAAGTGAACTGTTGAAACTTTTCCAAAAAAAATAAATAAAAATAAATAAATGAAAAAGTCGAATTATATTATATCCTTCCCACGGCGTATCCTGATTAGTAGCACATACAAGTGGAAGAAGAAAAAGCATATATATAAATAGTTGTCCGAATTGGTAACTTGCGCGCTGATCTCTTTCGCGTAGTATCTCTTTGATCATTGTAAGGAATGACTTGACCCCAGATTTGAGTAAGTGATTCATTCAGTTCAAAAACATTAGCCAAACAGCCATTACGATTACTCGTTATGAGTGCAAAGTAGATGCCAATTTACATCGCAGAACCGTTCCTATCCTACTTTAGCTTATTGGGTTCGTTAATAATCAAATTGCGGCAACTCGTAGACTTTCAAGCAAATACAACTTGTCCAAGCAATTGGTTGTTTAAGATATAATTCGTGTCGCCGGACTTTCTTTTAGCGGAGTTTTCGCGATAAAAAATATTTAAAACCTTTAACATGAAGCGCCATTAAGGTAGCACAATGTCAGCAAAATAATCGAATTATTGCTAACGAAGTCTGGATAAAGAACTTCTTTAACAGCAAACAAGTTCTGTGGTATTTAATCAACGCAAGTTAGCGGTTTTTTTTACAAAAATATACCAAAGCTAATTTATACGACCGGCACATGATAATAGCGGCCTTTCGTGACCTGAACAAGTTTGCTTATTTAAAGGGTTTTTTTCTCTTTAATAAACCAACCAATTGAGTTTTCATTTTCTCTCATGCGATTTTTGACTTACTCTTTGAGTATAAGCATTTAGTATATGATTTCATTATATAACTTATAGGATCTTAGACAATAGAAGAAAATATTAAATTTAATTAAAAGGAGATTTTAATTTTTTTAATAGGAAAAAAATAAAAGGAAAAGCTATAAAAAACACGCTTTAGTATCAGTCTAATGTTCAATAATTGTTATGCATGTTCTTCGAAACCGCTCCAGATAGTTTTTTCTTATAAACACTAAAATTAAAGTGTAAATCAAAATTAATTTGAAGGCTCTCTTTTTTGTTTTATGTTATAATCATATTATTTCATATAATTTTTTTTTTTCCTAAATATTTCTATTTAAAAATACTGCAGATATTTAATAAAAACTATTTTAAAAATTTTTTATATCAGTTTTTGCCTTAATAACTTGGTTTGTCCCATAGCTAATAAATAACTTTCACAACAACTTCCAGCGTTTCTTTGGCACCAGTTTTACTTTGTTTTCTTCTATTTTTTTTTTTTTTTTTTTTTTTTTTTTTTTTTGCTACTTTAAAGTCATATCTTTTCTTTTTCATTTTTTTTTTAATTTTTTCGGCCTTCGGTTTAAGACATTGCTACCTGTTTATGCCAGCAACAGAATACTTGTCTTTTTGGGGAGTCTTCATATTAGAGATTCGCTTGCGTACCGCTACCACCGCTAGCATTGGCTGTTAAAGTACTACTCGCAGCCATAGCACTGTTAGCATGAACGCCACTTAAACCCAAGGTTGCTGTCATACCACTTAATAATTCATGTTCGTTTTTGGCTTGACGTAACCAATTTCGTAAATCCCGTGTACGTTCTACCAAGCTAGTTGTATAATTCACAGCACGAGGACTTTGCGAAACGATCGTATTGGCAGCCAGCAACGAATTTTGCATACGCCCTGAGGCCAATTGACGATAAGTTTCTAAACGATCAGCCAAAGTAGGTATTGAGTGTATAGGTTGACTAACAGCCACACTTCCGGCTACGCCATTCACTACATTCAACTGCTGTTGCTGTAAATTGTGATTGCTATGCCCTCCATTAGGTGACGGTAAATTGCCATGGTTTAGCATATGAGACCAGCTTAGCTCAGAAGGCGATATCAATGGTACTTGTAAACCTTCAAAAAAAAAAAAAAAAAAATTCTGAAATAAAAAATATTCATAATTTTCTATATTATATGGTTGCCTACCTCCAGTGTGTCCTCCTTTACCCAATATATCTAAGATTTCTTTAATTTCGGCATTAAGTATCTCCAGATTTTTGATGCATTCATTTGACTCTAGTTGATATAAATCTTTACGCTTATTAAGATTTTGTGTATCGGCGCCACTAGCAAAGTCTGTGCTACTAAAACCGGAGCTCGAGTGCGATGAAAGATCGCTTAGGGTAGCATCCTCTTTTTGCTCTACGCCCAGCGAATCCATTATGGGTTTTTCCTTCTCATAAATACGTAGCAGACTTTGCTCCAAATGCCTTAAACGTATAACCTTTTCACCCAATAGCGCACGAGTACGATGTAAATTTACTTCCATTTCAGTTAACTCTTTCTCTTCCTGAATAAGTTGATCTAAACTGTGACGTGTTATCATTGATTTGTGACGTTGTTTAATTTCCCGCTGTCGTGCTCGGAAATTGGTGCGCTGTGTACGTAAAGATTCTTTAGCTCGACGGACTGAATCTCGTTCCAAATGTATGCGATGCTTAAAGAACTCCAGTTCGGAACTAGTGCCGCCAGCGTGATCGTTGTTTGAGATATCCGAGAAAGGATACCGCAAATGATACGTGGTATCTAAAGTATTTTCAGGGAATTGATCCTCTAAGTCCTCTAATTTTTGCAACTGGTGTCTCAAGTTTTCTACGGGTGTGCAAGGACGATCGATTTTGTAGTTATCTGAATTTAGGCGTGACGTTGACGCGGACTTTAAACGTGAAAACTGTTTCTTTCGCTGAAGCGTGCCACCACCGATATTGCTGCTACGAGCGTTATTGTTATTCTCTTGATTACTTTGAAACGCCTCCGAATCCGAATTACCATTGTCGCTAAGTATGGTCGCAGGTGCCGGCAGATAACGTCCTCTTGAGTAGTTATTCGATATTGTTGTATCCGACTGACTCATTGAAGTGGTATCATCTTGAGCTTGCAAGTGCTTAATATACTTGGAGGCTATGCCAAGTTTTCGATTAGTTTGAGTTGTATTACGTTCGCCTGAACGTTCACCGTGTTGCAGTTGATCCTTAGCAGGATGTTGAAGATGTGCCTTTGGTGGCACGGGAGGCTTACTGCATCTTCCTCCTGTACCTGTTGAAGCGCCCACACTATTCTGACAGGACGTAGAATAGGAGAAAGAGCGATTCTCACTATTACCTATTGACGGTTTATTTGAAAGTGAACGTTCCGTTTCCGATCCTGTCGTGGTGGTAGTATGTAAACTTTGTTGTAAAGCTTGGGCCTCACGTCTACGATTACGTCGCTCTAAGGACAATTTTACATCGGTCTTAAGTCGTATATATTTTTCTTTAAGGCAACGATACTTGTCCTCTAGTAGCCGTTTTTCACAACGCACCTTTTCATATAAACGATCCTCACCGTTCTCACGCATACGCTGACGCTCCATCTCTAATTCATGATTAAGTTTATCGCGCATCTCTAACAATTTGTTAGTATGTTCTTTCTTTAATATCTCTTCTTCACTTTTCAGATCTCGTTCTAAATCGGCCAATATTTCCGTATGATTTTTCTGGAGAGTAGCCATATGAGACTTATGTTCGTCTACAACCGCTTTACGCTTAATATCTAACTCCTCTTCCTGTTGACCGCGGTATTCCTCTAATTGCAATTCGAAGGTTTCATCCATCTGATGTTGATGCGATGTTAAACGTAAATCGTACTCGTGCCGTATACTTTTCAATTTTTGCTCATGTTCACGTTTAATATCTTCAATTTCAGATTGCAATGATTCTTCTAAACGTTCACGTTCTTCTTTCAGCCATACCTGATGATCTTCCTGTAAACGTTCTTCTAATATTGAACTTTCTTTCTCTGGTTCGCAGGGGGTTTGTTCCACTGGATGATTATTAACCGGCTCGCAAGGTTTTGGTTCCTCTTTCTTCAGCAAACCTATCAATTTCGAAGTTGCTTTAAAGCTGCGCTGACCCACTTTGTCCGTATTATTAGATTGAATTTTCATTTCCAATTGCTCTACATCGCGGCTATGCTTGCGACCTAATTCTTCCAAATCGAAGGGATTATTAGAAGGTCCCGCTGAACGCAAAGAGTCTTGTTCGGATTTATTAATAATGAAACTACGCACAGAACTGCCTTTTGAATCGGAATCGGTGTCCTCATACAGCGATTTTACTACCGCACTATCTTTTATTTTATCCAAGTAGTTAACAGGGCCATTAAGGGTAGGTGCCACTTGCGTTATTTCCACGCTTTGAGAACGCGCTATATCATTAAATTTGCATCTTTCTCGTTCCGGTAATTCCATCGAAAAGCTTTGAGCTTTAAGCATCTGTATGGTTTGAATCTTCGTTACCGGTATCACCTTTACTTCTTTGACATGCTGCTTATCGTTATCATTAATTAAAAATGGATTAAGACTCCTCTGGAAGCCTATACCGTCCGCTGGTAAACTGCCAATGCCCACACAGTCATTAAGTTCCTCGTCGTCATCATCATCCCAAGGATCGTCGTCTTCGGCGTCATCATCCGAATTCACCGAAACTTCTGGGCTTTGAGTTAATCTTCTTGAACTGCTCGGATCTTCTTCGGGAGAACCGCGCATCTTGGTTTCGTCCAAATTAAACCGCACACTTTTTTTATCCTCGCCATTATTAGCGCTGTCATTATCTTCCCTTTCCATGCGTCTTCGCATATCAGTCAGGCTAGAATCGCGCAATATGCTCTTCACTCCCGGTGGTGTACCGGCTGCACCCTCGACTATGACATTTGTTACGTTGTTTGGATTTGTCATTATGGCAGTAGCCTGATTTAAGCCTGCTTCCATTTGTTTACGTGATTTGAGAAACATAGCGCCAGTACCCGAAAGTGTGAAGCCTTTCTTTTCTGTACTATTTACCGCACTTGCACTTGCACTTGCACTTCCCCCTTCTTCGGTTTCCAATTTGCTAGGTATCGAAAATTTTGGCGCAAAATTTTCAACGGCACCTGTTCCCGAAAATCGCATACTTAAACCAATTTGTGCGTTAGTTTTCGCCACTTCAAATCTAGTATTTTTAAGCGGCATGAAAACTGAACCAAAGTTCTTCGTTCTTGATTCTAGAAAACGGCTAACGCCACCACTAAAACCACTGGTACTAGTCGATGAGCCTGACGAACTGTTAGTATTTGTTGATGTAGTCACTTGTTTCGGCACAGCTCCGTTATTCATATTGTTTGTGCTTGGTGAAGACATTTCATTTGTTGTATTGTTTGTGTTATCACATTCATCCGTTCCTTGAAGACTTCGTATACCGGAATCGAGTTGGGAGGCATCATCGGAATTATCAATTACAGGCGTAGATGTGGTAGTTGTGCTGATTGGAGTGACATTAGTTGTAGTCATAGTAGTAGTAGTGCTGGTAATGACAGTCGCATTATTGATAGATAAAGCATGCTTTCGTCGCGCCTGATCCACTAAATTATGATAAACGTCATCGAGTGGGTGATCCCATTGCGATTTTTTCGTTCGCGTATTGTAATAGTAATGACCACATTTTTCTTCTGAATAACTGAAAAAAAAAAAATAAAGAAAAAAAAAATTAAACGATTTACTTATGGACATTAAGATTTCCGGGCTCTTGATACTCCCATGTTCAGACATTTTAAAAAGTATTCTTTAAGAATAATTGTTTCGGTAGACTATTACAGTTTGACTCTTTTTGTTTCTAGTTTGAAATTTAAAGAGAAATTTCCCGATTTATTTCCTTACATAGATAGGGGAAGAACAACACCTATAATGCATAAAGAAAGCCAATAACATTAGGATGAATTGAGTTTGAAATAATAATAAAAGCTTTTAATCCGGCAAAGACACCCATTACGCCTTTGCGGAACGCCTCCTAATGATGCAATCATTTACGTGACATAACCTTAAAACATGTAGTGAGATATATGTTGACTAAAAACGGCCCATAAGGAGGCATAAAATCAATGGACAGACACGCAAACGCAGCGACTGGTTTCAAAACCGATTATGAACTAATTATTATAATAGTCATGTGTTAAGACATATTCCAAGGAATCAAAACTTAGTAAAGAGAGCCTATTTTAGATTTGAATAAGAGTTACGTAAAACGACAAGTCGTCATACATTACAGAGCGTCACGTTGATTCTAAAAATAAGTTAAACGAAAGACCTTAAATAAATTAATTACTCGTTATTTTACGCAAAATATTTTTATATTAAAACTCGAAACAACATACATATATATATATACATATATGTAAAAATGTGCAATAGCTGAGCCAAGTTAGTTGTAGCGTCAGGAACAAGAGAATTAGTCCCAAAGTCCTCACTCAAACTTTTATATCTAGTAAGGCATATAATATTTTATTAATCGGTTTTTTCTTGTTATGGTCACCTTGAAATGAGCAACATGACGAACGATAACTCAACAGATTCGCATACACTATACCGCCTGTAGAAATAGAAATATTTAAATAAGTCAAAGAATAAAGACTCACCATATTTTCCACTCCGCGGGCAATGCCTGCATTAAACCTTCTTTGGCTAAATAAAGCAAATGCGTTTCCTTAACAGGATCAATGCCAAGCAGGATAGCGTAATCATTGATTTCTGAAAAATAAATACAGAAATAAAAAACCCCGAATGATTCTATATGTTATCAATAAGAATACGCATCAAAATTATATTTGCCTCATTGCGTATTTTCGATACCCATCATCTCAAATCAACTTTTTACGATTGTAAGATCATTTCTAACATTTAGTCGGTGTTTATAGGAAAAATTGCGAAATTATTTTCAATTATTTTTAATTTTAATTAATTAATATCAAATCAGAATTGCAGATCAACAACATCTTAGTTCATGGTCCCTGAGACGTACTTTAAGGTGTTATCAAAAATTTTAAAAAAATGGAAACGAAGGCATATTACGCTGATATGAAAGTCAATTCATATCCCGAAAATATCAAATTTACTGCTTAAGCAGCGACATGTGCTGTCAGTGTGTCAATTAAAATATACTTCAGTTCAGTTTACAGCTTCTTGGCTTAGATAGAATATAATATAAGAAAGAAGGAAAAACATTAGTTATGTCCTCTTGCTGATATCGATTAAATTGTAGTCATCAGCACGTCAGTTGTATTGTATTTGTCTGATTAATATTCTGAAAATATTTACATTGAAATTAAGCACTAAAGCTTTGTAATAATTTCTACAAATCAGTCTTCATGGATTCATCTATTCCTAGCCACTTGTGAAAAAAATATATTAAAAGCTAATCGATTCAGAATCATTTTTTAAAACGATTTAATGTTTTCTGTCAGCTAATAGATGACAATTTTTAAAATACTTGCACGAAATTCGGTACACGAGTGTGTTATGGCCCAAAGGTAAATCCTATTATTCCGACGCTCATTCGCAATAAAATTTTTAAAATTTCTCGACAACTTTGCGCGAATAATTACATTTCAGCAAATTAAATTTACGTAAAAAGTTTTGATCGGATGGGTCAACGTTTTGAGCCCGCTTCCATATAACGAAATGTCTTTATATAATAAAAATATAAGAATTAAATATTTATATATAACGTCTTTATCTCACATTTCTATAAATTCGATGGCTTATATAAGTCCTTAGTCTATAGCATACACACTTTTCCAGGATATTAACTCGATTTTCCATGGAACGATAGATTTTCTGTGGGAGCGCGGGGATTGAAAACGTGAATTGACTTGCTCCAGATTTAGCAAAATTAATTGTCTTATCAAAGATCCTTGTATTCTTTATCTATTTACGTCATAAAACACTAGAAGGTTGACATCGTTGCATGTAAGAACTTTCTTTCCATGACAACTTTTATATATGGTGAGGTCAAAAAAATATCCCTACATGGTCCAAAACATGGTAGCTTTAATTTTTAGAATAATTTCCTATTATGGGCGAATTTTCGCGATAAAATATTAAAAATGATTTCGTCTCGCCATATAAAATCTTGTAAAAACTATAGTATAAAAGGATCCAAATTTCTCCCAAGAATTTAATACATCAAAATACTAAATTGCTTCAGTTTTGTGCGAAAAATTTTACAATTGCAATTTATGTTGCACAACTACAAATGGTCCTTAAATTTGTTCAATCCAAACCATTCTCAATACGATCCATTGTACGACCAAATTGTGTCAGTGTGAACTATTTTCCATGAAACTAACCGCGTAAATAGCGAACCGATATAATTAAAACTGGCTCGGTATTAAGTCCTTCTGTGTCTTATTTATATCTGCAATATGTACTGGTACTGCAAATAGTGTAGATTATAACTACAATAGTTAGTTAGTTATGGTTGCAATTTTTGATATAATTATTTGCGAAAACCATTAATTTTTATTTCTTTTCTTATAATAGCAATTGTAATTGCTATTATTATTACACTACATATAGAATCTATAGTTCTCTTTCTCTCTGCCTCCATACAAAATAAAAGAGAATGAATTCTTCCCTTCTAATCTATCACTGCAGTCATAGTTTAAAGTTTTTATTAATTTCGTTATTGTTTGTTCAAAGTGTATAATAAATAACTTTTTTGATGCAATCAAGAATGCAACGCGAAAAGCGAAACTTTATGGAAACATTTATGTTGTTGAAATTTCATATAAACTACTAATTATACAACGTATAAGTTTGGCATGAAAGAAGGTATTGATGCAGTCATTACTAAGTATGCGCTTTAGCATAAAAAATCTCATACAATAATCAAACAAGAGAGAAAGAAATTTATCTAATAATTTCAGCTAATCTTTTATTATCAAATAGTTAATTATTTTTTATCGTTTATGATATAAAATATGAAAAATTTCATCTTGTTGTGATATAACGACTTATTTTCCACTCATATATAAGTATACGGCATTATTTAGTGATTTATTTATTTACAACCCGAGCGGACATAAGCAACTTCCTTCGGGAACGTCGAAAGTAAAGAGAGAAAAAACTGAGGTAAACAATGCTTTTAACCTCGACTTCTTAGATAAGATTTAAACCGAGCGACCATATCTCCTGAGAAATTAATAGGTTCAAGTTTAAACGCTTTAACTGAATCTAACGAAATCTATACAAAAGTCAATATAAATCAGATCAGCTTGTTTGTGTTCGTAGCTGTAAGTTGACCGTCCACTACGAAAGCTGTGTTGGCAACCAGTTAAAACAGATTGGATTACCAATTGGGCAACTGTCATACGAGTAACGACTCAAACAACTTGGCCAGAACGCTTAGTTTTGCAATTCCCCTACAGGTTTCAATGTTCTCGTTGCAAACGTTTTAAGCTTAAAAAGATAACCTTTCTGCAAGCTATTTTCGGAAATATATTATATGTCATCGAACCCCTTATAGTGAAGGGATTACAGAAAATATACCATTATGGTTCAATACATCACAAGCATGTTTTTATATGCCAAATTACTATTTTGAAGCAATATTCATCATTGCTTACTTAAAGGAATACCCAGCGGGAGCGAAGACATCTTCCCGCCAATCAAATTCTTTAGCAGGACTACTCGGCTTTCTCACCCTCTCATTCTGAATTTCCTTCCCCATATAGCATTTCACATTCTACCGCGCCTTCAAATTCGTTCCGAGCCGCCCGCTTTTGCACAAGGGTATTAGCAGTGGTCTTTCCGGCCATTTTCAATGCTTTCACTTTCATGTCTAGCATACTCAAATACGAATCCCTAGTTGCTTAATCCTACTTAGTCATGGTCATGGTCATGTGTTCAAGAGACATCCCTTGACGGATCTTGTTCTTATTCGCCGAAAGGCAACTCTATTGCATTCAAATTTTTTACATGGACTTTGTATGGATGGTGGTGCATTCCAATTCATTTTCAATAGCTTACGTCCTTATGTCGAAATATGCCACCACATTAAATATCGTTAAAATAATTCGAAAATTGACATCTGTAGGATGAGCACAAAAAAATTTGGGGGCAGACAGGAAGACAAGCTTAAATCAATTCAAAAAAATGATACTGAATTGAGACATTCATGTCGAATCTTCCGGGCGTTGTATTCATCTCCACAAGCAAACATGATGTAGGGTACATTGAAAGTGTTCAGAATAATAACCGTTTTAAGAGTGAGGTTAAGGCAAATTTGGAATGTAAAAAAATTGGCAGGCTTAGGAAATGTTGATATAACTGAAAATAATTATTAAATTTGCGCAGTAAAAATTCGAGTATGCGATATTTTTATTATTGCGAGTATTTTGGCAAACAGGAATTTAACGGCATTTCAAAATGATGTACATATGAAAGAAAAGAAATTAATTCAAGCATGCAATAATTATTGATGGGAGATTTTTTCGCCAAACATAGGTAAATTTACTGAACAAATGTGATATCGTCCAAGTGCTGGTACCAACACCAACGTTTTTCTGTATTCGCTAAATGATTAATGATTGCTAGTCAATCGTAGTGCAATCGTATCCATGTACAATATATAAAAAAATTTTATCTTAAAAATATAGAAAATAAACTTTTTTTTTTTTGGTCAATTCCAAATCAAACGCATTACACAACTCGCCTATAACTGTTGACATTAATTAAAACGTTTATGTTTTTTAATGGAATTTTTAATTTCGAATTGCTGAATACCCATAAAGAACTTGGAGGTTATTTCATTTTTTGCTGTACCTTATAATGTGTGTTACGATAAAAGCCGATAATATGGTATAAGAAAGTGAATATGTGTACATTAATTGTACATATGTAATTCATTATAAAATTAAGATAACTTATGCTTGAAATACTAAGAAATAGTTAACCGTTTTAAATATTTCTAGCTTAGCTAAAAGGAAAATAAAAATCATGCTTTGTATCGTTAGAAGCGTACGTATGCGTGGTGGAGGTCATTTTTGAATTAGCGTTGATAATAGTCAAAGCAAACCGTTTCTATTAACTAAGGAAGACTATATATCTTGCACTCTTCATTAAACGCAGATCCCATATGTTACACCGCAAGTGAATGTTGACTAAATATCCCAATTCGCCCAAATATACCAGAAGGCGTTGACAGATTTTTCGAAAATGTTAAGAGAATCACCTAAATTTGCAAAAGGCAAATGGGACAACATGACACATTGTACTCTGATTATAGAATATCTGATAATTGGATTTTGTATAAAGCGGTCCCACAAAGCAAAAAAAATTTGAAGAAACACATTTATTTAAATAGCTATCTTATAATAATGATGCCGAGAATACTTCCAGACTTCTATCTAAGCTACAAAATATTGAAAACCGATTGACTTGTCACATTGTCAAATATCATGAAAAAGAAATCATGAGAAAGAAAAGTAATAACAAAAAAAAAAAAAAAAAAAAAATCGGAAAATGTATTTCGAAATCGGAATATAATGCATATGTAAAAACCGTTTTCACGATTTCGATTTTTGAATTAAACTCAGCCTCTTTTTAAGCGAAATGGCTAAATACCTAACAACTAATAATCCCTGGATGGCTAAATGGATCCTGTATAACACAAGCGCTAGTAGAAATGGTATAACAAACGGTAACGAGCAAATATATCGAATAAACTGTTTATTTAATTGCTGAGTTCA